CATCCTCAGAAAATCAAAACAAGTAGCTATTTGTGGAAGTAGATTTCACATCTATTCTTATGGTTTTCTCCTGTGTTTTTAGGTCAAGTAAAGGTAGAGTCAGCCTGAAAAATCTAACTAACTAGTTTCACATTTGGCCTAAAACATATTGTCCCAAGTATCTGATTTAGATGTTTGCATGCGCCAGCCTGAACAGTTTGTTGAAATAAATGCTGGACGGCAAAAATCTGTTCTAAAACTTTGCCTAGAAACCACACAAACTGTGTAGCAATATTGTGGCATTTAATGGGTAGCACACATTTGGGATGGTTCAGTGTTATACTGTCCCAGAGATGAACTGGGGGAAGCATTTGTTTAACTGCCAAACATAATCTGATCTGTTATTATTAGTCACATTCTTGTAACAGAGTCTACTATAAATATATCAGTTGGTGAAGTGACACATGTGAAGTACAAACTGCTGAGTCTCTGCAGGAGGCATTTCCCTCCATCTGAAGGCTGCTGATAGGATTTGCTTGCTGGGGCCGCTGGCTCAAAAGGGGTGGCATGTACAAGGCCAGTGAGGAAAATGGTTCACTGGCTTTTCGCATCAGAAGCTCGATGGCAGCTCACAAGAACAGAAAGGAAAGGACCAGCAGAATTGATACACCAAAGAACTTACAATGGTGTATACACCTCCTTCTGAGAAGGGACTAGTCCCTAACACTGACAATTTTTATCCAATGCAATAGTATAAAACTGTGCCTGTGCACAATACAAATGTAAACACAAGAAAAGGCAGAGAATAATTGTACTGAATAAGCTATCTGGACACAGAAGCCAGGTTTTTCAGTAATTAAAATACCTTATCAATATTCAGTGAAGTGTATCCTTCATAACATACCATGGAGTCTCCTCCACTTGCTATTGGGAATTCTAAATTGTCATGTTCCAGATCCTCCTCTATGTAGAGTCTTGTCAGTTCTTCTGTTGTGTCTTGTGCTTCTCTGTAGAAATCTGATTCTTGAGGCTTTGCCTGATGCCCTATATTAACTGACAGATCTGCAGTACAGATTTCCTCTTTGTTTTCAGCAGCCGCAGTTAGCACTTTGGAGATGGAGCCACCTTCATGTGGCGAAGAGATGTTACAGATAGCGCCAGCATTTTCACCTTTTCTTGTAGTATTTGACAAATCTCCAGGTATTGCAATAACTGAAGAGTCAAGTGTACCTCTCAAGTCTTTATCTTTTCCTGGTTTGGTATTGCTGCTGGTATGTTTATATGCTATGTCATGAGATGAGCTGGCTGAAGATGAGACAGAGGTAGATACAAGAAAGGGCAGAGGAAGAGCTGCAGGAGAGCTGAGAGAGACCTCTGTATGTGGAATAAAGTGATCATCCTTAACTTGGTGAATGCCATTACCTGGGAAGATTGCTACAGATTGGGATGTTGTTAATGCCAAAGAATTGAGTTCTTCTAAGTCACAAAGAAAACTGTCTGGAAACGGTGGAGGAGGTAAGATGCGCACGCTTGAAGGTGAAAAACCAACAGTCCTTGAAAACCAGTCGCTATTGGCAGCCTGGAGAATCTTTTGATCAGTGTGTAACCAAGAAGAGGAAGGGTGTCTGGAAAGTGGGGACAGCGCTTGGGAAGGCAACTTCAAAAATAAGAAAAACATGGGAATTTAAATAAATAAGCATTACAGAGAACTGGGATATGAGTAGACTGGAAAAGAAAAATGTCTTTGCCATCATCTGGATTATAGGGTATCATTTCAGTGAGCATGGGAGTCTGAAATCGTTACTACATGAATCAGAACAGCAGGAAAGACATTTGAAAAATGAAACTGTATCAGGTTCTGGCTTGGGGCTTAAATGTCAAACATTAAGACAGATCTGAATCATTACCGTCATGAAGGCGACCTGCATTTGGTCTGCTAAAGTTACGGTGCTTACGGTGCTCTGTTAGTGAGCCTGTCACGGGTTATTAAATCATACAATTAATATTAATGTAATTTTCCCTGAACCATTACTGTTATTTTGAGAATAGTATTTTCAGAAGTACACATCAGGTGTCATTACGTATTTCTTTTAAACTGGAACAACCAAGGTGATTTCTAGTTATCCCAATGTTACTGCTACTACTTTTTCTTAGTGCTTCTGCGTACATACTTAAGAAACATCTTTAATACATTGCATACTTTTATTAAGGCATGAGCAGCTACAGAATGCATTTTTCTTCAAAAGTAATCCTATTAATTCAAAATTACATCAACATTTGTGAAAGGTACATTCAATTCTAATTGAATGTAGGCAGTCCACAATGCTTTTAGAATAGTGACAGCATAGTACACAGCAGTATATTTTGAGTACTGTTACATGATATTGATTGAAGTATCCTTCTGGTAAAAGAAATGTCCTTTTGTAAGAATGAGAGACTGGTGAGTCATACGTACACAGCATCAGTGGATATCCATTGCTTCAGTAAATACTGAAAATGTATTTTTGTTACTATTAATCCTCAAAATTGAATGAAAAATATTTTTATCTCATTGTTAGAATTAGCCAGAGTAAGTAGATGTACATGTCTAAGTTATCTGGACAACTTTAGACTTTAAGTATTACTCTAGAAAAGGAAAATAATTTCAGAAGGCTAAATTAATGTTGCAGAATAGGAAGGTTAATTTACTTACCTTCTGCTTGAGTTTTCTTGATGCAAATAGCTTTATTTTATAGTTAGACAAACCTTTGTTATAGAGTCTCATATACCAAAGTAAACAGTCTATAGACTGATACAATGCTGTCTGCAATGCTGTCTGCTGAAACAGAGCTAGCCTGTTACAAGCA